GATCGTCAACAAAGAATAGGTGAGATATATTAGGGCCATCTTAAGAAACCTTAATTAAGATCCATTCCTCGTCTTTAATATCATCCAAAATAATGTGATGCAACTTTTCCATGCATAACGTGAAGATGTAAGGGGAAATGGGATCCCCTAGTCTCATACTCAAACCTTTTGCTAAAGTAAAGCTTGTATTAGGTTCACCATTCCATAATACTTGCATACTAGTACTAATGATGTAGGGCATAATAAACATCAATTAATTCTTCATTTATCCTAACTTCCTTTAATATTTTGTAAATAAAGTTTTGCTCCACCTTATTATAGGCCTTCTCCAGATCTATCTTGATGGCAAGATGCCCTTCCCTCCCTCTTTTTTAGCTTCATGGAGTGGATAATCTTTTGAGCCACAATGATATTGTCATTGCTTTGTCTTCCTGCAATGAAATTGCATTGATGATCCCCCACTAGTTTATTAATAATTCTCTTCAATCAACCATTACCTCCTTCTAAAACTTCTATTTTGTTGTTTTTCCTCTTAACCACAAAGGAGGTGTGGAGGAATTTACTATTCCTACCCCTTAGTTTAACCACTCGTATCTGGTAGGTTTTTCTTATGTTGTAATTTTACTGTATTCTTTCCATAATCTTGCTTCCTTTTGGGCTAGGTATTGACTGTCTCTTCTGCTTCTAGCTCAATCAATGTTTTCAATCTTTTTAAACAGATCTCTTTTCTTCTTAGGAATGTTACTAATGCACTATTTATTCCATTCTTTTACCTATTTTTGAAAATTTTATACCATGCAGTCTCGATTGCCATCATTCCATGCTCTTCTAACTACTTCATGGAAGTTGTCCTCAAATGTCCAACTTACTTGGCACTTGAACAATTTAACTCTTTTTTATTGCTCTAATTCCCCAATGGTTTTAACAAAAATTGCTTTATGATTAGAGCCATGTTTACCTCTATAAATCACTCTTGCTTGTGGATAGGCTAGCAACTAATATGAGTTAGAGAAAATAGAGTTGATAATTCAGGCTAAGCCCAACAAGCTAGCTTGAACCCACTTGAAAAAGTTTGAGGCCGAGCTTGATTATATAGGCTTATTAAAAAATGCATGGTACTTTAAGCCTGATCCGGATAAGTATAGCCTGAATTGAGCCCAATCTGAATAAATCTGACCGTCAGAATTACTAGCTTTATATATATGTAGAGTTAGTAATTCAAGCTAAGCCCGATGGGCTAGCCAGAATTTACCTAAAAAAATTTAAGGTCAAGCTTGATTATATGAATTTTTTTCACAAAGTATGATACTTTAAATTTATTCTAAATATGCTCGACCTACTTAAATTACCATCTCTAAGAGAAAGTCCAGTCAAGCCTCTCTTTCATAAAAATTTGATCCTAAGTGAACCTATCCCTTATAGCTACCTCTAAATGTTGAGCATTTTGTATACATTCCTTAAAGTTATTTACAGAGAGAAAATTTCAACTACCACTTATCTTATCACAAGAGTAAAGATAAGCATTGAAATCAGCTATAAGGATTTAAGGATCTTGCATTTTAGTACTTAGTTTCTAAATGTCTTCCTAAAGTGTTTGGTGTTTGGCACAAGTGGGTTCCACATAAAAACAAGTAAGCCATAAGCTTCTTCAAGAGTTATTTAAGCAAACATTGACATAAATCAATTGAGTAGTAGAAAAAGCATACTTAATAGAGATGTTATCCTTATTCCACAAAATCCATATTTCCCCATATGACCACTTCTAATATAATCTAATTAAAAAAACCCAGCTAATGTACTATCTTATCAATCTACACCTCCTTGACTTTGGTTTCCATAATAATCAAAATATTGACATTATGACCCTTAAGAAGATCATGCACCTTAGCAAGAAAGGATTTAGAGGTTGCCCCTTACAATTCCATGAGATTAAGTCCATAAAAACACAAAAAGAAAGAGGAACCTGGGATAGAGGTTAAGTCCTTTAAGTCTCACTATCTCTCCATTTGGCATACCCTCCTTCCTTGTTATTGGTATCAACCTCAAACCGTTGTTCTTAATTGCCTTCGGGCCCTTCATTAATCTCTATTACAACTTTTCCCTTATCATAAGTCTTATTGGGTTATAGAGAAATTGAATTAATTCTACCTACTTGTGTGTCCATTTTCACATCTTGATGCCATATAGTATTCTCATTAGGTTCAGGCAAGCATCCACTCAAGCTATCAAACAACTTCATGTCAATTTTTTCTAAGTTTAAAAAGCCCCTATTAACCGAAAAGCCTACTATCACAATATGGGCCCTTTTCTATTAATTTTCTTTTTAAAAGAGGGGTAAAGGCTTTAAGCCTTATTGATTGATTTCTTTTAAGCCTACTCACATTGGTTCTTTCTAGGCTTCCTTTAACAGAATTTTTCCTTCTTGTCTACTAACACTCGGGCAATTGTTCCTCTAGCTTTTTGTACTCTACCTTGAAAACTACATTCTCCTCTGAACCTTTTGTCATTACCCCTAGTGAAATGTCACCATCATTTTATCTCCATCCCAACAAAGTTATATCATTCGGTCTTTTATCTTCCTTTATCCTACATTCTTTCTCATTCTCTTTTTTCCTACTTCTTAGGTTACTTTTCGTCTTAGGAATCTCCTCCTCCATAGTGGCCAGTACTTCTTACCTTGAGGGTGAAACTTTCATGTAGTCTTTTGGGGTTCTCTTTTCTATTGATTTACTTTAGGGCTATACTTACCGTCATTTATAGCTTTTACCCATTTAGGCTTCATAGGATGTGTTGGCAACATCCAATTGCCGTATCGTACTTCCAACATGATATTCCAACCAAACACTGCCAATGTCCTTATTTGCGTTTATGTCACTGAAGGTTGAGAAGCTTGCTTATCTTATTTCTCAAGTGATTTCTTCGTACCTATATTTTCCTGTGGTGTGGCCTTCATTTCCACATTCTCTTTGTTTAGAGGATAATCTTTCTTTTGATGACCATATTTCCCACACTTGAAATAGATGATATTCAACCCCTCATATTTGACAATGAAGATTTTCTTCCAAAGAACAGATCTAGAGTTTGAAGTTGTTGATTCAAATCCACTTCAACACTAATTCTAATGTACCTTTCTCTTTCCATATCTATTTGTTTCCCTCTTATTTGCACCAAGGTATTGAGATCCACTTTTAAGACTTTACCAATAAGATCAACAAACTCTCTTAATGTCTGCTCTGCATAACAATGAATCAAGAGTATTAGAACACCTACCTAAATTGCTAGTTTTTAAAGAGTGTTGAAGTATGGGTTGAAGGTATGACTCCACCTTTAGATAGCTAATAATGCCCTTGGATCACCCACAATCCTCCATTTAATACTCTATGATAATGGCTCATATCAAAGAATCTAGATATGAAGTAGTTATTTGTAGGGTCAATCAACTTAAAGTCTCTAATTTATGGTAACTTTATTAATTCCTCTTTCACACCCAGGAGGTTTTATCTCCAACCTAGCAAAGTGACAATCAAAGGAAAAATTTTAAAAAATAATAATTTTTTTATTGTTTTTAAGAATTTTTCCTTTCCATTTTATTCCTCCCTGCTTTTTTTGCAGGATGATAGCCATTGAGAACCGTTATGACAGATAATAAAGGAAAAGGCATCATTACATCACCACACGTAAATCATAACATTGAAATATGCTAACTTATATTGGACAAATTCTATTGCAACAATAAATTGATTGATATTTCTCTTGCTTTAAAATGCTTAGATTTTTTGGACTTGAAACTAAGGAGAGGTTAAAGAAATAGAACAACTAACAGGACAATTTTATACTCTGTTAACAATCTCATGCTATTTGAATTGCTCATGGATACCAATAATATAAATGATTTGTAATTCTATTATAATCTCACGTGACTGCTATTTTTAACCTTCCAACCACATGTTTAGTATTATCATAGGCGGGGTATTTGATAATTTGCTGTCATCGGCAACATATATCTATAAGCTATAGCTTAGCATGACGTTGAAAATAAAATTTAGATTGATTTAGAATAATGAAAATAAGTTGTATAACATACTTATCTCCGAACGTTAGGAAAATCACATAGATGGGGGATAACATTGCCAAAAAGCAAAGATTGGAAATGGAAAATCTCACCGAGATATCTCAACAATAGATGTAACTTAGCAAACAATTAGTTTACAAATTCACGACTTAGCAAATTAAAATGAAGCAATCATATACAAATTGAGGATAGGCAAGGATAAGAATATAGATTAAAAACACCTAATAAAAACAGGACCAATCTGTAACAATTACAATAATCAAAATCAATAGTTAGTTATTACAATTAAGAACAAGAAATTAGACTAAATAGGGAAATCTAATCTAACGAATACGAAATCAAATTGAATATTAATTATAACAATTAAATAACCATGGCAATGGAGTCAATTTAAATATAATAGACAAAAATTACACTGAATAGGAAACTCAATTTATTATTCATTCCAAATTCTTTTGAACCGACAATAGGAAACTATATTATATTATACTTGAAATCCAAATCTATCAAAATTTTCCTTGACTATCGTCGAATTACATCTAATTACACAAGCAATTTTAACTAACTGTGGTATCTATTGTAAGATCAACATCTATTGACTCGTGCATTTTAAGATAAATGTTTGAAAACCTGTGCCCCATGGTGTATGATTCTAATTTGCAATTTTTATATCAACATAATTAATATTGATAATATCAATATTTTGATTGTGATGAAATCGCCCGTATCACCGTCATTGAACTGTTATAAAAAAAAAGAAATATTTAAAAATGTTTTTTATTGGTCAAAACTCAAAAGTATAATTAGGGCAGTAGGGTTTTAAATTAGATTTGTAGTTTTGTACCATACCAAAAGGGAATCCTGAAAAGAGGAGGAAAACTTCGAGGAAAAGAAAAATATCTCCCACTCGTTATATATATAGCTAAACATCAATTAGAATTACGGAGAAAGAACAGAACTGCAACTGGAAAGCGGAGTGATTTGGGCGCGGTATCTTTCTTTTTACTGTTTCGCAGGTGGATCAGGAAGCAGATTACGGTTCCGACATCCGAGTCGACTGGGTCATGGACGGCCAGCGTTTCAGATCCGACGACCCATTCCTTCTCAATTACCAGCCCTCCGAGCTCCGAATCGCCTCCGAGTTCTTCACAACTTGGCTTCCCTTCCTGTCCAAAGATCTCTGCTGTCACTGCTCTGTTATTCTTTCTGATCGCATCCGTTCCATTGACCCAGGTAAACTGCTTTGCTTTACTTTTTCGTTTTGCGTCGGCTCTTGGTTCCTTCTTGGCATATTTGAGCGGAATAATTGAAAAGCTGTTATGAAGCTTGGCTGATTATTTCTTTTTATTTCCTTGGTAATTATATGCTGCATGCGCTATAAGGCGTTGCTAGTTTACTGATAGGAACCTTTTTCCCTTTATAATCTTGTAGAGGCTCATGGTGATGCTCCAAGAGAGCAATTTGTTGACGATTCGAATGCTTCTGTTGCTAATAATATGCAATCGCACGAGACATGTGACATTCATGACGATAGTTGCGATACCAATTCTCTCGGGAGTTGGAAAGATGGGGCAGAAGCAAGTTATTCGGGCGAAGCATCTGGGTGGTCTGAGCCAGTGACGGAAATTTCTGTAAACGATGTCAGTTGCGAATTCCCTCTATTGGAGACCCCGAGTCCTCGCATGTCTTGGGCGGACATGGCACAGGAGGATGAGTTTGGTGAAGAAGAGCATAACAAGCTGCCGGCGAATGCAAGTCCTTCGGATGGAACGATAACAAGAGTTCCCGAGAAGCCTAAGTTGTCTTGGGAACAGCGAGAGTACATTAGGTTCATGAATGTCCGGCGTAAGATAGATTACATGTGCTTTGAGAGGGTTAATGGAAAACTTGTCAACATCCTTGAAGGGCTTGAACTCCATACGGGTATTTTTAGTGCTGCTGAACAGAAAAGGATAGTCAATTTTGTTGCTTCATTGCAAGAGATGGGAAAAAAAGGAGAACTGAAAGGTTTGTTGTCTCACCATGCTAGCACATTGCACCATTTCTTTTGTTAGCATGAGCTATGAAATTTTTGTTAATAGATGTCATTGTCTAAAAAAATTATAGTGCATAGATAACTGTTCAATTGAATGTTTAGCGTTAATCGCACAAGTCACTGTTAAAACACAGCAATAGCAGAAACCCAAGGCCTTGATTTGAATTTACCAGCTACATAGTTCTTCTCCTGGCGATAGTTTTGGCTTTGTATTCTAAATTGACACAGAAGGACTTCCTATATTTAATCGCCTTTTACTTTGCTAACTGCAGAAATATTGCTGCTTTTGTCATCTGATTTTGCATGTGTGAAAAGATAAGCAGGGATGCATTGCAAGATTTAATTGCAATCACTTACCTTGTCTTCATTTCAAACATATTAGAAACTTTATAGTTGGTGGTTTTCAACTTATTTAACATTAAATTGTAGGTTATAATCAAATCACTCTTAGTGTTATACTGCACAGTGGTTGAGTAGAAGATTATGCATATTAACTATCAGATGACTTTTACAGAGGAAAAAAGAAAGAAAGAGAGAAAAGCTATTAGACGACTAAATGTACTTGGATGAATTTGATGATCCATCATCATAGCTGTATTTCGCATTGTATATTATTAGTAGTAAGGTGTTTAAGACTGCATATCATTGACATCATCCTTATTTTGTTTTGCCTTTTATGCCTTTTATTCTATTGTCATCTCTGTGGCATGATTATTCCTCTACTACTAATTGGCTCGGATCCTATAAGTTTGAGGTAGCAATTCATGACCATGACAGCACAAACAAATCACAAATCAGGACTTAAAAATCCTCGAGATTCTGGTGGGACCTAGTTGGCTTGTAAAGATATTTCAGGGAGGTGAACTGACATGCTTGTTAAAGGTTTAAAGATCAGACTTGTGTACTCTAAGCTTGCAGTGGTCATGAATCCTGAACTAGGTTAAATATTTATGTTTTGGCGGATTATTTTGCTACTCTAAAGGAGTTTGGATCTTGTCAAAATACATTCCTTGTCGTATGAATTTATCTTTCCCAGTCTTTTCTAGCTATAGCTGAAGTAAAAACTTCATACTTGCTGCGTCATGAAAGGAAAATTCTGATTATCGAAAAAATGTGTTCAGAGTGATGTAAAGAATGGCGGAGAAAATGGGATATAATTTTCAGTTGTAGATAATATCTATTTTCTCTATGATAAGTAATAAATTATGCAGATGTGATTCTTTTTTCCTGGAATTTTAGGGGTCCCAACAACTTAGTGTGGTCAATGAATTGGGAACTAATCAATGATCCTTTGTTTAGAGATACAGATATATTGAGTTTTTGGATCATGGGTTGCCTTTGCTAACTACCATCCAGAAGACTGAAGAAAAACAATTCTATTTTTCCCCAGTTGGCTATTGCATCGATTCTTGGATAATTATAATGGGAGGTATTATTATTGAGGGACTCTATGATGTTTATTCTTTTAAACTCTTGCAGATCGGACATATTCAGCTCCTCAAAAGTGGATGAGAGGCAAGGGACGCCAAACTATCCAATTTGGGTGCTGTTACAATTATGCAACAGTTAGTCCATTCCTTATGCCTCCTTTACAAATCTTTTAACCCGCTTTTTTTCCAGGAAATAGAGTAATTTTAATACTCATGTGGCCCCATTATAATCACTGATGAGTTTGATAGGAGGATGGAGCTCTTACTTTCTTACATTCTGTTACAGGATAAAGATGGTAAACCGCCTGGAATTCTTCAGAATGTGATAGTAGATCCTATTCCTGACCTTTTCAAGGTCATCATCCGTAGGCTGATCAGGTGGCATGTACTTCCTCCTACTTGTGTGCCAGATAGTTGCATCGTTAATATTTATGAAGAAGGCGACTGTATACCTCCCCACATAGACAATCATGATTTTGTTAGACCATTTTGCACTGTATCATTTCTTAGTGAGTGCAATATAGTCTTTGGATCCAACTTAAAGATTGCAGGTGCTGGGGAATTCAATGGTTCAGTTGCCATTCCCCTGCCTGTGGGGTAAGTATTCAGTCTGTGTTTATTTCTTGCACTTTATATAATTAATTTTCCAATTATATTAACTTGTCAAGAGATTTTGCATTGTACTTTCAATAAACTGATGACTACGATTGAGAAGTGAAAATCTTATAATGGCATTTTCCCTCCAGATCTGTGCTTGTGTTGAATGGAAATGGAGCTGATGTGGCTAAGCATTGTGTGCCTGCAGTTTCTTCGAAAAGGTGCATAATGAAATTGTATTTCTGCTATGGCTCCCCTCTCTCTGATTTTGATGTTGATTTGACTCATCTAATTTTTTTTTTTCCAATATCTATCAGGATATCTATCACATTTAGAAGGATGGATGTTTCCAAACGGCCTATAGGATATGTTCCAGAGCCTGATCTGCAGGGGATCCAGCCATTGGCCTTTGAGGAGAAGAGGTCAAATGGATCCAGACATAACCGTCGCCGAAGAGGCCGTAGGAATGATGCAATGGGACCTGCAATCGGAAGGGATAGAAATTTGGAGCCTCACGAATTAACTCAAAGTGCACAAAGGTCTTCAAGCAGGCAGAGTAGAGGAAGGCCGGGTAGTTGATCGGTGCTCCGTTATTAGGATAAAGGTTCCTACTGGCTCAGGGTTCACTTTCTGGTATTCACAGCAAAGTGTTGGTTGTGGTCACGTGATTTTCTTTCTGTGAAAAGGATCGTCATGCAGGCCTGATCGCTTTGGTTTCTGAGGGGACAGAGCGTGGTTTTATATATAATCACCTTGCAAATCAAGTTGGTCAGTTGGGAACTGCTTTGGTATTTTTCTCAAGTAATGTGAACGTGGAGTCAAGAATTGTTGCCATTTGGTAATACAAGTTAGTTGTGATTTGCACCTTCTTTAGTACTGAGCCTAAAGACAGTAGGTGTATCGTTGCCCTTCAAAATTTTTCTTGATGCTTGTGTTGGGAAGAGATTATTCTTTATTGAGGCAATGTTTGTGTTGGGAAGTCTGCTTGGCTGGATTTCATGGATTGGAATTTATCGTCGGATCAGCTACACTCAAGTTATTTGTATAAAGATGGCGCTAGGCATATGAAATCAACACGGTTGTGCTGTGAAGTATCGTGCTTGTTTTTTCCCCATACGTGTATTTTTATAAGAAAACCGAGTGATTTTATTTGCAAGTATAATTGTTCGAAATGTAACCGAACTTGTGTCGAGGGTCGGCCTCATTATCAGAATGGTTGATGCTTGATTCCTTAATATTTTTTTTGCTGTCAGCATTCTCGATTCCTATGTTACTTAGCCATGTTTTACGAATTATAAATTGAAAATTATTGTTCTTTTTCGCCCAGAATTGAAATTATTTATTATTCTGCAAAGTCGTATTCTAACTCAACAAAATCTGAAAAGAAATAGTATAACCATCTATCAACCAAGTGAAGAGAGAATTACTTAGCCTTCTTTATGATTTGCATCGGTATTCAGTCGAGATACAATTAAATGGACACAGAATATCAAGAAACAGCCAACAGAAGTAGACACCTGAGAAACTTGAAAGAGCGTGACTCTTCCTTCAATAATGAACAACTCACACGTAGCAGTTTGTAAAAATAGCCGACCATACACGAAATAGATGAACACTAAACATACATATATTCACCACCACGAATGGCATTTTCGGCACCCTTCCTCTCTTCTTCTGCTTCCTTCTCACGCTCCTTCCAGCTCTCATAGACATGGTCATCAGTTTGCAGCTCATACCGACAAATAGGGCATGAATTATGCTCGTCCTGCAATACAAAGGCGATAGTTTTAACAAAGACAAAATGTTGATTTGAAAAGGGAGACAAAACAAAAAATCGCATGCTCTTCGAAATTGTTTCCAACATATCAGGGCAAGTTCCCAAATATACCAGCCATGGCTTTAGACAAGGTGGGTGGAACGTGTGCCTGCAAGGCAGCTCCTGCATTTCGTCATTTAGAGCCAAGTTTTCCTTGCAAATTGAACACTCTGCATCTTTCCCAAGCTTAGTCAGGATTTCCTCTGTAAGAGCAATGACCGGAAGTTTTGCCACAACTTCTTTGCTAGCAGGAGGGACTTTATGAGGTACTGGACCATCACTCAGCATCTAAACAAGAAGAAAATACACTGATGTTTACCTTTGATGAAGTGAGGCAATGTGTAACAATAGAACTGCCTTTCATCAGTAATAAGAACACTGACAGGTAACACAGCCGATTGAATCACATTAACAGGTTAGTTTGGTCCTCTGATCAAAACATGACAATTGTCAAATTTTTCAAAAATAAGACAAGCGTAGATGTTTGTCTTGTTTTAATTAGAAAATCAGGCACTAGTAATCTTTTGATTGAAAACTTAATAGCAAACGTAAAAGGGACCACATGTTAATCTATTGTTTGACATAAATGCTCAAAAACGACAGGGGCAATAGGCAACACTACGAATAGGGTTAAATGAGACAGGCAGATGCGTAGGTTGCTTGTGATGGTTCCTTAATTAATCTGCAGAAATACTTTAGTGAACAAATCCGTAGTTATGCCTACTCAGGAACAAGTAGTATGGAATTACGGGGGCTGTAATAGGCAACCAGTTCATAGTCACCTCAAAGCACTTATTTCCCACACCATCCTATAAACCACTTCTCATAAATCTTAAATCAAGGCAAATTGGTTTGGTTTGCTTAAGCTCCAAATCTGAACGATGAATAAGCCCCACAACATCCAATTTATTTGACTAAGGAAACTGATTAACTGAATCTAGAAATTGAAACCACGTTAGGTAGCTAGGTGTTAGTTTGCTGGTTTGGCTTGCCTTTGTTAACTCAGAAAGAAAGAAAGAAAGAAAGTAAAAAAGAAATTGAAAGCCACATAATGTTGATATCAGAGTATAGAATTAGAGCTAAGTAATCAACCGTTAACAGAAACTGAGGTGAAGATTCGGAATGAATACCAGTGGCACGGCATCTTCCAATCTATTTAGAAGATCCTGAAGCATATTTGCAGCATTTTCCCGTGAAGTATCATCTGCCGCTAAACCTTGAGATGATTCAGCAGCAAATAGCGTAGCAGCTGTTGTCAAGAGGTTTGACTGCACCAACCATTGAGGCTGAGGTGGCTCAGGATCTACGGTAAGACGTCCCTCAAAAAGATACCCTAAATCCTCACAAAACACGATACTAGGTCACACGGAAACGAAAAGGTATGTTATTTTCAAATCTTTATAGAATGTGAAAGAGGATCACCTCCATTGGCAGAATTTTGAGCGGGCTGTGAAACCTGTGTCGGATTATCCTCTAGATGCAACTCTTCCCTCGCCTGAGAGACGCAACCCTTCAAGTGTTCCTTCTCATATGGATCAGAAACAAGCAATTCAGCCTGCTCAAAAAGCCCCAGCCCAGCATTCCAGAAACCGGGCGCGGTATATCTGGTCTTCAATACAGTAGCAACTCGGCATATAGCCGTATAAAACTGTCCACATCAAAGTTTATTACTTGGTTAAATTCTTCAACAATGATGCCAAGTTACAGACTATTATATATCAATAACAGTAATGAGTGCAAACAAACAGGAAATCGTGTGTTTCTAACAAAACCAAGAGAATTTGAAAAACAAGAACTGAAAACAGAAACGGTGTTAAAATCAAAAGGTTGAACGTAGTAGTGATACGAATCCAATAGAATAACAAAGAAAACAAGCAAGCAAGCAAGCAAGAAAGAACGAGAGCAAATGAGAGAGAAAGTAAGCATACGGTTTTGCGAAGGGAGGGAGAAGCCAATTGATACTTTTGTTGAAGGAGGGATTTAAGAGAGGAGACAGCTTCCTCGAACTTTTGCTTCTTCCCCAAATGTTTCTGCAATTCCTCCAATTGATGTTTCACCGAATCCTCCGATTCCATTTTCTTATTCTTGTCTCGATTCAATTCACTTGGGAAGCCTTGATGTTTGTTGGCTTATATATTCGTCAGATATCGATTTTCTTGTCGAGGGGGAAACCAAGCCGGTCGCCCCGAGAAAGAGTAATAATTACCGTCTCCAAACACGCCTACCATTTGCTGATCAACTTCCCAATTCCCTCCGCACACGCCGTTGCAGAATATTTGTTAATTTATTTTAATTATAACTATTTGCCTTTTTTTTTTTTCAATAACCTTGATAAGTTGATATTAGGTCAGTGATATATCAAGGTGAATTTTTTTTTTTTGTTTGGGGGGCTCATCCTCCTGACCATAATTAAAGACAGCAATTCGATTCTTTTTATTTGAATTAGCACAAATATTAATAAATAAATAGTCGTCGAGGCTGGAATGGTTACCAAATATCAAGTAAAAGACTGGAAGAAAAAGATTAATGCTTTGTTATCACAAAAAGAATAATGCTTTTAATGAGTCATTTATTTTGAGTTTTCCGAATCATCCCGAATTTACCCCTTCTTTTGTAATTACTATTTATGTATATTAGTTTAGGAAGGATCTTGATTTAACCAACTAGCACATAATTCAACCGGTAAAAAGTTGTGTGGCTTAATTAATAATTTTGTGTTCGAGTCGTGCTATGCAGTTGTGTTAAATACCCATTGTTAAAGTTTTTACTATCAATGTGATCCTATCAAGCTCGACTCATGAATAATGAATAATTATATAAAAATAAATAAATAAATTCTCAATTTAAATTAAAAAAACATTACTAAAAATAGGATAAGGCTTATCATTTAGCCTTATATACTTAATATACTTTTATTCAATTAAATAAATATTAATATACTTTATGAGTATTGATAATAATATTAATAATAATAATGTTACAAATAAATAATCTATAAAAAATATAAATATCTCAATTTAAATGGAAATCAAACACTTGAAATATATAATACTAAATATATAATTTTTTTTCAATAAACTCTCCAGATCATTTCACCTTTAATTTTGAATAATATTTCGGTTCTCATCACCCCTGTATATTATCATGTGAGCTCTGAGCTTTCTGCCTTCGTAGGTTGGAAATTGAATTATCCAACGAAAAAAATAATATATTATTAGTAAATTATAGCTCGATACTTGGCGACCCAGCTTCAACGTTCTAAACGAGATTAAGGCTGGCATGATTAGAAGAAGCTGACTCACCACGGAAAGGAAAAGACTGAAATCTATCAGCTTTACTTCTTCACAGAGAAAAACCCCAGACAAATAGAGAAATGACTCATTTGGTTTGCTTGTATTTTACATTTAGAAAGTAAATTTTTATTTTTAAAATGTTAAAAATTATTTAAATAAAATATTTTAGAAAAAAGTATATCCTAAAAACACATTTAAACAGTAATTAAAAATGAATTTTAAAAACATAACTACTTGAAACTTTTAAAAAATAAATTTAAAAAATAAGATGTTATTTAATTATATTACCTTAAATTTAATCTCTTATTTTTTTATTTAAAAAATAATTAATTCATTAAAATATAATTATTATTTCAATAATAATTATTAAGTATCAATTTTTTTACATTATAAATTGAATAATTAATCATGTTAATTTTTAACATTAATATATACTAAAAATTATAAATCTATGACATTTTCTAGAGTCACAAATTAAAAAAGTACAAATAATTAGAGATTAAATTTTTAACACTGTAGATCAAATTTTATATTATTTAAAATCTTTATCACATTTTTTAAATATTTTAAATATATTAAATTTATATAATAAAATTATAAATCATCATAAATCAATATATTTTTTTGTAATTATACATTCAAAAACATATTTAACTATCATAATCTAAACAACTTTCTGTGTATCAAATTAATTTTTAAAAAAATATATTCAAACACAAATTTTAATACAATAATTGACTTTCATTAAATAAATTTTTAACGAACTAGAAGCCAAACACACATAAAGAATTTTCAAGGTCATCATTCATTAATTAAGAACAATAATAATCACAGAAACAACGTACATCTAATAATCAATGAAGATAATCACAATGTCTCAGTTAGCTTATCAGTCACTTGGTTAGTTTCATACAAATCTCCACTAGCTATTTGCTTCAATACTGACTCACGTAAACCTTCAAAAGGAAGGGGGAAAAAAATAACAAGGGCAGGAGGAGAGTCCTAGTGAAAGTCTCAAAGATCCAAAGGGCAGGGCGTCATGGTGTCATACAAAAGCCTCTATCCTGGGCTCGAACGAGAAGGCAGACATGAACTCCATGACTTGGCCTTTGATGCAACATTTTGGCAATTCAATCCATTCTTTAGTCCTCAAATCACACACAACATAAGTGCATAGCTCAGGAGAATTCAAGCATATAAATATCTGGCCCTTCACCCCCACGCAGTTAATATCTGCCTTCTTTCCATACCACTCATGAGACATTGCTGCAGGCATGGCTGCAATCTGGTGCCAGCTTCGGTTTGCCTCATCGAATTTCCACACCCGAAGACTCGCACTCTCCAAGAACTCGGACAACAGAATAACTAGCATCTCTCCATTACACTCCACAACATCAATGGAGTACTCGCAGAATGCAGGCAACAGCCTGGGATACTCAGAGAAGCACTTGCTCGTCAAATTGCAAGCCACCACTGTCCCTGAGGAGCTTAGGAAGTAGACTATCTCCTCACCATCTTTGTTAGTAATAACCGATGAAAATTGCTTAGAAGGACTTCTCTGCATGTTACTTGCCACCACATTTCCAGCCTTGCTTAGGAAGTACACAACATTATCATCGCTTGAATCATATTCCATAGAGTTGTCATCAACCGTTCTCCTCAGTGCAGTCTCATCTTCCCAGCAACCATTGTTCGAATCATAGGATATGAAAGAGAGAAATGGAAGTTCACCGAAGACTAACACTATCTTGTAGGTGGAGACAGATGAACTCATCACAACGGCATTGAGGGGTTGATTTTGTTGGGCTAAATTCAGTGGAGGAAGATACCTACGACATCCTGTCACAGGATTGCATAGAATGAAGTTTCCAGATGATTGGCGGTAGCAAATCAAGCCACCAGAGGCAGCCACTGGCATGCAACTTTGGTTAGAATCTTCCTGCAGAGGAGGAGGAGGATGATTGAGTCTTTTCCAAGAGCTTTCAGCAGAGTCAAAGATGATAGATTGGCTGAGACTGGGGGCAACCATCAAGAACCAAGGATCCCGAGAAGGAATCTGAGAACAGGCGAGCTTGAAACTCGCAGAGTCAGCCGCTGATTTCCATCTTTTGCACACAGTGCTAAGGCGAAAGAATGTAGAAGTTGGCAGCCATGAGAGCACCCTTTCAAAGAGATCTTCATTAAGGTCGTCTAGAGAGCCACTGTTGGAGAGTAGACAATCTCCATTTTCTGGTGACTTTCTCTTCAAGCTTGTCCTTTTACTTTGCGAATTGTTAAGTTCCATTGGCGATACGTTTGTCAGAGACAACTGCAAAAACAAAGTGACCAAGACGTTAGCAATTTTTCTTAAAAAAGTCTCTGCATCAATTATAGTGGGGGAAATGGAAGTGAAATAAGGCTTCCAATCCAGAATTTGTCAACACAAAAGAAAAAAAGAGTCGCCAAAAAGTAATACAAAATGCTGTCTGAGGCAGAAATCAAGACTCGACACAACTGGTTAAAGCATGAGATTTAGGGAACTGATCCAGAACAGGAAGAAGAAAACCCTCGGAGAAAAAATTTCCCATCTTCAAAAACAGTGAAGCCTGGGACTTTAGATGCGAACCAAATTCATAATCTTCCCCGAACCCCGAAGGAGAACAAGGACACCTTCAATAAGGAGGAAAATCCACGGATATGATATGTTCACTTGAAATCGGAGGGCAGAAGGGGGCAAGGAACTAAACACGCATAGCAAACCCCTCTTCTACAAAAAGATCTCTGAACTCGTGCAAGGGATCCGATTGCAGTCAAATCAAACACCCTCGCACCACATCTAACTGAAAGAATGATCAGATTTTACATGGTAAAAGTCAAAGCAGCCCAGCCACCCACCCAAACTCGATCGGAAGGTTAAAAGCTTACATAACGAAAACCCAGAAACCACATGACAAAAGAACACAGAAAATCAAGAGAAATGTACCTGAGATAGAACTGAAGCAGCGGCTTTGAGAAGCAGCAGCAAGTGTCAATGAATAGGGCTGGGGGTTGTATTGCAACTGCAAGTATGATGAGGTCGTATTTAAATGGGGTATTGGGGAAGGGCAAGAAGATCCGATAAAAGGGAAAAAGAGAAAGCGAGCTCACCAAGTAGGAAGTGAGGTGGGAAACTTCGTGGGTAGCTCTAGGGTACACGGACGGGTATATATGTGAATATATAGATATAGAGTGATAGGATTGAATGAAGAGAAATGGTTGACTCTCTGGTTTCAAAGATTGGGGCTTTGGATTCGGGTTGACACCAAACAGACAATTGCTGGCACATGTAATCGCTTTAATCGTCGCAAAACTGCATGAAAGAAAGAGAAAGTAACAGAGAGTTTCAAAGTCGCTAGGCTATGTCAAAGGGGGTTTGTCATTTGTGTGGGTTAGCTGACCCTCCCAAAGCAAAAGCAACTCTTCCTCGTTGAGGAATCTTTGTCTTTTACTTCTGCAACACCCCACATACGCACACTCCTTCGCCAACTAAAAGTCAATGCTCTGAAGTCCCATCCACAAGCCAAGCATAATTCCTGGATTAGATTAAAATAATGGAGAAGAGCAAAAAGCCGCTAATTAAGCTCGCTTCGTCGTCTCGCTTTACCTTGTTCTCATGCTTTTGCTCCGCCTCGTGTGCTCGCTTTCAGGTTCATCAATATTCCATCCGGTGGACGATGCTCGCAAATCACACGCCCCAAACCCAGCAAGGCTTCTCCGCCGTCTCGCACATGATGCCACCAAAATCAGCCCTGCTTTTGGCCCTTTTGCTTTCATGCATTGCGAGATGCGAATCCGAATAATCCCTTCTTTACAGTGACTCGTTGGTTCACTTCTGTAATTACTGACGGTAACTTTAATTTTTGAGACTTTAATTTTGTTGAGTTTGTAATAACTGACTCCCCTAATTTTTTCTGGTAAAACATATTCCCTCTTGTTCCATTTATAAAACAAGAAGAGAGTGTTTTTTTTTTCTATTTATAAACCATATGATTAATTTTTATTAAAATTAAAATTCTATTAAATTTTTAAAGAGGGTTAATAAATTTTAAATTTTTTTAATTCTAGTAAAACTTGTTGAAATTGTCTTATGAATAAAACCAGAAAATACTTCATTGTTTTATCAAGCTGTATAATTATGGTTAGAACTAATTACCACTATAGTGTCCAGCATTGATATGTGCCAATTCATTAGCCTAGAGATTTCAGACAGACCCACATACACATAATAATTCTTTTTCGTCAATTTATAATTTTTTTAAATAAAATTATGCATATCAATTAAATTGATTAAATACATTTTATTGTTTTTAAAAATAACAATATATATTTTAAAAAATATTTTTAATTTAATACTTTATTCATAAAAGAATATTAAAAATAACGAATAGATTAAAGACGGTAATACTAAAAAATTTTATTAAATTTTTTGGAAAAATTAATCTTTTAGTCCTCCAACTTTTAAGTCATTTGTAACTCAGTCCCTCAACTATGACTCGCTGTGACTCAGTCCCTCAACTTTTGAATCACTTACAAATTAGTCCTTTAACCTTTGTTAATTTTTTTTTCATGTTAGCTTATATCTCACATTAATGAATAAGAAGAGGGTATTTTAAAATAATATATGAGCATTTTTTTATCCCTCTTATTTGATAAAATTTTTTTAAAAAAATTAAAAAAATAAGGACCGAGTTATAGGTAAATCAAAAGTTGAGGGACTGAGTTGTAGCGAGTTATAGTTGAGGGACTGAGTCGCAGCGAGTCATAGTTGAGGGACTGAGTTACAAGTGAGTTAAAAGTTGAAGGACTAAAAGATTAATTTTTCCTAAAATAAATTTAAAGACAAAGTTAATAAAAAAAGGAAAAATTAATCTTTTAGTCCTTCAACTTTTAACTCACTTGTAACTCAGTCCCTCAACTATGACTCGCTGCGACTCAGTCCCTCAACTATAACTCGCTGCAACTCAATCCCTCAACTTTTGATTTACCTATAACTCGATCCTTATTTTTTTAATTTTTTTAAAAATTTTTTATCAAATAAGAAGGATAAAAAAATGCTCATATATTATTTTAAAATACCCTCTTCTTATTCATTAATGTGAGATATAAGCTAACATGAAAAAAAAATTAACAAAGGTTAAGGGACTAATTTGTAAGTGATTCAAAAATTGAGAGACTGAGTCATGGGCGAGTTATAGTTGAGGGACTGAGTTACAAGTGACTTAAAAGTTGGAGGACTAAAAGATTAATTTTTCCAAATTTTTTTATTAAAATATGTTTTATTTTAAAATGTTAAATTTTTTTAAAAAATATCTTATAAATTAAAACAAGAAAAGTACAGTTTAACCTTGAATAGATTTTACAAAACAGTATCAATATATTATCAAGAGAATTATAAAAAATTATATTATTTATGATTGTAAATTTATTTTAAACTCTTCTACCAATAAACAGTTACACCATGCCTTTTAAATTTTATGGAATTGGATTGCCTCTTTGGTTTATCCAAATAATTGATCATTTGGGAGCAAATCATGACTTGGAAAAAAAAAAACCCAAACAGCATAATTAATTAAATAATTGATTATATAGATAGAATAATATCTTGTAATAAGTTACCTTGCAGAGCTTTCAGAATTAAATAATCAATTATATAGGTAAAATGTTAATATTAATATAATTTAAATTTTTATAATTAATTAAATATATAAGTTAAATAATATATTTTACTTTTTAAATAAATTTTAATAAATTTAATATATTAGATATAATTTTATCAATAATTTAATTTTAAAAAATAATATTTCTTATAGTAATTTATATAATTAAAATTAATTTTGATTAAATTATTTAAATATTCTTAATTTTGTTAAAATTAATTTTAAAAATATTATTTAAATAGATTATTTTATAACATAATCAATTATAATTATAATTAATTATAATTAATTAATTATATAATTTATTAATACCCACCGAAAATTCACTTTTGTGAATAGCAATAATACTGTGCACACAACCGTTCAAGCTCGCATTTTGTGGTGTCATGTCAGACAGGTCTCGTGTCAGTTGCTTAAACTTTCTTTAAAAAAAAAATGCGTTTGAATGCTTACGTCATGCCCCCGTGTTTTTAACAATTTAATTATTTTAATGCGTGTACTCCTTTGTCCGACTTAGCTTTGCGGGAATTTAACAAGGACTATATTAATTAATAGAGCATTAATGTACCTTTTCAAACAATAGGCTCTTTCCTCGTAATTTTAATACTCCTAGGTAAAGAAATTAATTATTATAAAATTTATTAATAATTAAATTAAAATTAGTGACAATATATTAATGATTTTATTTTAATTATTAATAAATTTTATACTCTCTCCATTTAAAAATATAAAATATTTTTAATTAAATCTCACCCTTTAATAAAGTAGTTATCTACTTTCAAATTAATTTTATTTTTTCATATTTACTTCTATTAAACATTTTATAATAAATATAGAGTTATTATCAATAGAGATAATTTTTAAAACAAGATAATGATTACACTTTAAAATAATAAAAATATTTTATATTTTTAAATATTCAACTCTTAAAAAATATCTGACATTTTTAAACAAAAGGAGTGGTAAATAATTTTTTTTTGTATGAATTTGTATATAATTCTTCCTATTTTTAAAGACTTTAGTTTGAGATCTCTAATTAAATTGAAATCACTTCTTGCTAATTTTTTTTTTTTTTAGCCTGGATGAGTTTGTCGTTTGACTCCACAGTTAAACCTATATATGCGCACGCGCATTGTTTTGTATTTGAAAATAAACATCGCTGCAAAATGAGCATATAATACGAGACTATTTTTCATCGCATAAGATTAACGAATGAGGTGGTTCCATGGCTAAATTTTTTTTTTTAAAAAAAAAACCAATGCAGTAAAATCAATATAACTCTCGAGCTTCTTTTGACAATATAACACGTGGAAGATGACGCCTTTGGTCATTTACATTTTGCACAAATAATATTCCACCTCATACAAACTTAGCAAGGGCAGGTATCCACCATTATTTTGACCTTCCACCATTATTCAGTTCACGTTTTTCTTTAAAAAAAAAAATCCCCTGGCAATGCGCGGACTTTCCAAATATTTTTATGATTGTATTAAATATTAGCAATAAATGAAAATCAATATTTGTTATAAGAATAATAAAAAATTATTATGTTTATAATATTTTAATCGAAACTGCTAAATATTTTTTTAAGATTGTAAAACTACAAATTGTAAAATATACGTCGCACGCAAGAATAATCAATATGTACCAACATTTATAATGTCTAGCCTTCAAAGTGAATATTGCCTTAATGAAGAAAATACCCCGCGAGGTAATAAAGTAACAACACTATATGAACTGCGCAACCAAACCATGCCTAATAAAGAAACACGAAACAGAACATACCTAACATAACAGATTCCCAGAGTTGATGTCACAATCGCTAGATAATCGGCAGCATTCTTTGTTTTATCCTGACATGAATTCATGAATTCCTCGGAGACAGTTTCCACAAACTCCATCCATAAAATCTACTGCGTAAAATAAAAATTGTTTGTTGATGTAACTATTAAATTAGGAACTCCAGTTTCAACAGTTAGCACGAAATGTACTAAATCTTAGTATTCATAGTTTTATGAATTGGACGTTTCCCAGTAAATTCTGTTGATAGAAGTGTAATTTCATAAAACAAATATCAGTTTACCAACATAAAATATAAAATTTATTAGGACAACTCTCAATTTCTGTGTACTTGTTTAGTTATTTTAATTTTTTTTTCATACACTTTGTAAGACTTCATGCCACTACTTTTGCTTATTCTTCATACTTTTTACATGTCTCAACGGGGTTTAAATGTTCGGAAAACAGTAACTTTTTATTTATCCTGTGCATAGCTAAAAAGATGTATAATTTAATATAAAATAAGATAAAGGAGGAGGAAGAGTCTTTGCTAGTCCGCCTTCCATGGAACGGACAGAAGCAAATCACAAGAGACGTGTGCGAGAGGGGAACGCGCGAGTGCAAGATTACCATGTTCATGTTGCGTAACAAAAACAGTGAAAAAAACGAAAGGAGGCTTTATTATGAAATTAAAGCAAGCAGCGCGTTAAGGATATCATAAAGGAGTTCTATTCTGTCACTATAATCAAATTAGAGAGTCCAATCTAAACATGTCGCAATAGGACCCAAGGTTCATGCAAATAGTGAAACCCCAGATAAAAATATTTTCCCAACCCATCACCTGTTTCAGATGATGGGATAATCAAATGATATTAACAAATAACAAATTTTAACTATACCTACGTTATTGTCAACTTGTTCTCTCCTGATATTTGCAGTTTAAGAACTGCACAGTGGCGATCCTCGCTTCAACTGATGCATCTTAGCCGAGGATGTTTCAGTGGGCAATGAACTGATGCCAGAAAAATTCATTCGAGCCTCCTCAACTGGGATCCCGTTCCCGCTTGCACTGGAATATCCATTCCCATAATTTGACTTCAATCTAACATCCTCCAACCGTCCCGAGCCTACCCCGTTTCGATGATCCATTAAAACGTGAGAAGTCTTATCCAAGCAAGGAAAGCCATTTGGCAAACCTGGAGAAGAATCATAATTGCCTGAATGAATATCACCTTGCTCTTCCATGCAGCCTGAAGTCTCTTTTAAGACAGCTGAACATGAATTTGATAGGACCACATCTACATTCTCCAAATCTT